GCGGCACCGTGACGTCACGCATCGCATTGTCCCTGCGGCACCGTGACGTCACGCATTGCATTGTCCCTGCGGCACCGTGACGTCACGCATCGCATTGTCCCTGCGGCACCGTGACGTCACGCATTGCATTGTCCCTGCGGCACCGTGACGTCACGCATTGCATTGTCCCTGGCACCGTGACGTCACGCATCGCATTGTCCCTGCAGCACCGTGACGTCACGCATTGCATTGTCCCTGCGGAACCGTGACGTCACGCATCGCATTGTCCCTGCGGCACCGTGACGTCACGCATCGCATTGTCCCTGCGGCACCGTGACGTCACGCATTGCATTGTCCCTGCCCCACCGTGACGTCACGCATTGCATTGTCCCTGCGGCACCGTGACGTCACGCATCGCATTGTCCCTGCGGCACTGTGACGTCACGCATTGCATTGTGCCTGCGGCACCGTGACGTCACGCATCGCATTGTCCCTGCGGCACCGTGACGTCACGCATTGCATTGTCCCTGCGTCACCGTGACGTCACGCATTGTTTCCGCTCCCGCGCGCAGACGCCGTCGTGGAGTTTGGTTACGAGGCGCAGAACGACGATGAACTCACGATCCGCGTCGGTGATGTCATCGGCAACTGCGCGCCGAAGGAGGACGGCTGGATGGAGGGAGAGATCCGGGGTGTTCGCGGAGTCTTTCCGGACAACTTCGTCAAGGTATCCGCCCACGCAATGGTGCGATATATAGTATAGGGTGGGAAGGGGTGAGATATAGATGAGGGTGGATTTATTGTTATTAAAAGCGATCAGAATGAGAGAGAGAGCGAGAGAGAGGAAGAGATAGGGAGAGATAGGGAGAGGAAGCAAGAGAGCAGTGGGGAGAAAGCAAGAGAGAGGTGGGGAAGAGAAAGCAAGAGAGGGGGAGAGAAAGGACGACAGAAGGGGGAGAGAAAGGAAGAGAGGGAGAGGGGGAGAAAGCAAGAGAGAGGTGGGGAAGAGAAAGCAAGAGAGGGGGAGAGAAAGGACGACAGAAGGGGGGAAAAAGAGCCAAAAAGAGCCTGTGTTAAATTAAGGTCCAATTTTAAGCGAGAACCAGTTAACCTACCTGCCAAATTGCATCAAAACGTTACCAGCGCTAGCTCCCACGGGGCCAAAAATCTACACCCGCCTTACGACACACACCACACACGCAGAGCATGCATATGTTGCCCACACCACATTGCGTGGGCCGGACGCGTACGATCGACACGTACTACCACACATCACAACGCAAGGCATGCAGAGCACGCACACGTACGACACACACACACACACACACGCACAGCATGCAAGCCACGCACACGTACGATCACACCACACACACACACACGCCAAGCCATCACGCACGCAACGTACGATCACACACACACACACACACGCAAGCATGCACGCGGGGACAGAACGGCACACACACTTACCCTCCACCCACCCACCATCTCCACTACCTCCGACCACCCGACCAGTCCTCACCTTACCTCCACCCACCACCATCCTCACTTACTCACCCAGCCACCGCATCCTCCACTTACCATCTATCCACCCACCATCCTCACTTACTCGCACCCACCCACCATTCCTCCACTTACCTCACCCACCACCATCCTCCACCTTACCTCCACCCACCCAGCCAGCCTCCACCTTACCTCCACCACCATTATCCTTCCACTTACCGTCCCACCCACCACCATCCTCCACTTACCTCACCCAGCCCACCATCCTACACTTACCTCCACCCACCCACCATCCTACACTTACCTCACACCCACCATCCTCCACTTACCTCACCACCCACCATCCTCCACTTTACCTTCCACCCACCCACCATCCTACACTTACCATCCACCCACCCACCATCCTACACTTACCTCACCCACCACCATCCCTCCACTTACCTCCACCACCCACCATCCTCCACTTACCTCCACCTCACCCATTATTTCCTCACTACTCCCACCCACACCACCATTCCTCCAGCTTACCTCCACCACCACCATCCATACACTTACCTCCACCCACCCACCCATCCTACACTTACCTCCACCACCACCATCTACACTTACCTCACCACCCACCATCCTAACACCTTTATGCTCACCCACCCACCGATCCTCCACTTACCTCCACCCAGCCCACCATCCTCCACTTACCTCACCTGACCCACCATCTCCATACCCTCCACACACCATCCTCCACTTACCTTCCACCCACCCATATCATCCACTTACCTCACCGCCCCACCATCCTCCACTCTCCTCCCACCCATTATTCCTCACTTACCTTCCACCACCCACCTCCTCCACGTACCTCACCCACCACCATCCTCCACTTAGCTCCACCCACCACCATCTCCACTTACCTCCACCCACCACCATCCTCCACTTTACTCACCATCCCACCATCCTCCACTGTACCTCCAGCCCCCCACCATCCTCCACTTAACCTCCACCACCTCACCATCCTCCACTTATCCTCCACCCACCCACCATTCCTCCACTTGTTACGTCCATTCGTGTTGTTCACCCACCATCCTCCACTTACTCACCCACCCACCATCTCCTAGTCTTACACTCCCACCATCCAACCATCTCCACTTAACCTTCCACCCACCATCCTCCACTTACCTCCATTCCCACGTCCTACATCCTGTGTCCACTTTACCTCCAACCACCATCTCCACTTACCTCACCCACCCACCATCCTCACTTACCGTGTCGTCTACGTCTCAGTTGTTGTTTCCCCATCGCATGCCTACACTTACCTCAACTACCCACCATTTCCTTTCCACTTACCTGTCGTCACCACCACCATCCTCACTTACTGTCCTAGCCCACCACCATCCTCCACGTTACCTCCACCCACCACACCATTCCTCCACTTCCACTGTCACCATCCACCCACCATCCTCCACTTACCTCCAACCACCATCCTCACTTTACCTCCATCCACCCACCATCCTCCACATTACCTCCACCCACCCACCATCC